TTTAACTTTAATTCTTTTTAACATAAGTATGAACATACAAAAGTTTGTATGAACATACAAACTTTTGTATGTTCATACTTATGTTAAATGAGAATGTTTTGCAAAAAGTTGTGGTGATTGGAGCTCGGGGACAAAAAAAAACCAATTTTCAGGCCCATCCAGCCTTTAACGTGGGAGCAACAAGTTGATAAAATAATTTCTTTAGTATTTTTATCTAAGTTTATATTTATCAACAAATTTAAAATTTCATTCAATAACCTCTTAGTTTTTAGTTTCTATGACCCTACAAAGTTTACAGCCCCCTCAAATTGAGGGGGGTTAAAACTTTATATGGTCATAATTTTCAAAAAAAAAAGAAATTATTGAATGAAATTTTAGATTTGTTGATGAATATAAACTTAAATAAAAATACTGAAGAAATTATCTTATCAACTTGTTTCTCCCAAGTTAAGGGCTGGTTGGGCTCAAAAATTAGGGTTTTTTTGTCCCCAAGCTCTTATCACCGCAACTTTTTGCAAAACATTCTTATTTGACATAAGCATGAACATACAAAAGTTTGGAGTTTGCACAATGCGTGTAAGTGTCAAAACTCAAACATCTAAAGGTCCAGTGTACACCACTGGTATATATCTGTTAGTATGTATGCATATATATCTGTATGTATGTTTTTATATATATACACATGTACGTAAATGTATAAGTGTATTTAATGTTTACTTTTTTATGGTTTTTTTTATATAGCTTCTTCAACAGTGCAAAATGGTCTATTGACATTTCCAAGTCCAACTCCTGTTATGAACCATAACAATACACCTTTCCCTGCTTTACGTAGCACATCAGGTGAGCTCATGCTGGACTGCCAATTCTATCAACAATTTTACGATTTAAATCATATACAATCTCCTCTTACTCCATGTAGTCAATTATCACTCGACTTTTAATGCTGGAAACTTGTTTTCATGCATTGCTTTTTTTTAAATATTTATTTATTTATTTGTTATTTAAGAACAATATTTATGGATTATATTTTTTTAAATAAATTTTATTTTGTAATATTTTCATCCTGAAAGGTACTATCTTTTTAAAATAATGTTATTTATAATTTTGCAAACAAAAAATAAAATTTTCAAAACGTTTTCAAATAGCTTAAACATCAATCCCTTGTTTTTTTTGTTTTTTTTTGATAATTTAGTAACGTCAGCTCTCAAAGGAGTGTATTCGATTGACAGTTACATGCAAAGATCGCCACCCTCATTTCTTGATTTTGTAAATTTGGATTCCGTCTCTTTAATGGCAGGAAAAAGATGAAAACTTTAGCTTGAAAAAATAACATTTTTTAAACACAATCATTTTATTTCTGTTAATAATCTCTTTTAAAAATAGTTACAACATTTAAAACTTTTTTTTTTAATCTACTTATTCTTAAATAAAAATTAAAACATTTTACATTATAATTAAAAGTTAAGTTGTTAAAATTAAATAATTAAAGTGTATAAATTTTATAAAACATATGTTTTAATGTACTGTATAAATGTAATGTATGTATATAACATATGTTTTTAATTAATGATATTAAAATTTAAAATTATAATTTTAAAATGAATTTATTTTATGTCGATATTATTTAAAATTTGATGTAAACATTAAAACTAATTAAAATTAAAAATTCATTCATTTTTTCATTTTTATGTTTGTTAATAGTTCATCTTTTTTTTTGTTTTTTTGTTTTTGGTTCTGTGAAAAACTTATTTCTTAAACTATAAACACATTTTAATAATAATTTTTCGGCTTCTAATACACTCGTTTTCTATTATTATTTTATATTTATTGTTTCTGTAATGAGCTGTGTAAAAAATATCCAAATGATGTTTTAAACAAGTTACAAGTTTTTAAAATTAAAATTTAATTTTTAAAAACATGTTTTGATACGTTTTCATTAAAAAAAAATTTTTTTCTGAGAAAAGAATATTTTTAAAACTCAATCAAGTTTATTTTCTTACTTTTGCTATAATTTTCTATAAATTTTGACGTTGGGTTTATATAGGTTTTTGTGTTGGATTTATATAGGTAATTATTATTAAACATCGAACGAAAACTATTTGATCTTTTGTTTGTAGATTTTTCTTAGTTTATCTAGTAATTTCAAATTCCCAAGGGAGTAATCTGTAGATGCAAATGTGTGTAAATTACTTTAATTTTCATATGCATTTTAATTACTTTAATTATTTTTTTAAACAATTGACTTTTAAACTCACTGTTTCAAACTTCTTTGTATTTCTAAACAAACAATTCATGTCTTATTAATATTATTTAATGTCTAATGAGTAATTATTAACTTTATGCAAAACTAACATTTTCGTTTGTAGTAACTCCAAGTGTTAACCAACTGAAATCTCAAATAGAAAGAGTGAGGAGGATGTATCATCCTTATAACAAGTCTGCTGCTTGACAGGTGCATACCCTTCTACTTCCAAACAAGTTATTTATGACTTTACAAATTGTTTTTAACTAAGCGTTCTATTAACTTGAAAGCATCTTTATAATTTAGTATTTATAATGTAGATTTCTATATGCTGATATCGCGACAAAAATTCATTAATACCACTTTACTGACGAGTTCAATTTGCAATTCATCTGCTAAAAGTCATTCTTAATTAGAGTTTTTGAATCCAGAGAGTCGTTAGTGTTTTATGCTTGTGGCAATTTAGTGGATTTTTTTATTATCGTATTAATCTTTTATGTTCTGTCATGTTTCAGTTTTATTTGTTTTATTGTTATGTTTATACTACTGATTCTTAAATTTTGTAAATATTAAAATTAGATTTATATACAAATATATTTTTTACAGACAAATTATGCAATTAAATGTTTGATTGATTTTTAACTTATTTTAAAAATTTATTGTGAATACTTTGTATGTCAATTGTATTGATGTAAAATTCGAATAAGTTTATTATTCATTAATACTCTGTAATTGTGTTTTTTGTGAGGTGATGTATAAATATATATAAAACAGTAACGACACCATAGGAAAAAGTAATAATCTACTAAAAAATCAATAAATTATTGACAACACAGAAAAAATATATATGTATATATAAATATGTATAACTTTCGTATTATCTGAAACCACCGAAAAAAAAGTTACTGTCTTTATAGTAGCTATGCTACTTTTTCGTATTATCTGAAACCACCGAAAAAAAATGACACTGTCTTGATATTAGTTATGTTATCTTTTTTAAAATCTGAAAACGTGTTGAGTACAGTTGACATCATGTTAATTTTTGAATTTTTATCTAAATATTCAGATTATACCTGCATCAGACTACCGTTTGCCTTGTAAAAAAAATTGACTCTGTTCTGTAAAATGGTCAGAAAACAAGTACGTTAACAATAAATATAGTCGTAAATGGAATCCAGTTGTGAGGAATATTTTTTAGAACCATCTATTTTTTTTATCTTTAACTGGGTGGAAATAAAGTTACATTCTCTTTAGACTTTATTGTCTGTTCCAGTGATAGCTTTTTATCTTCTTATCTTTTTGTTATAATTTCTGAACCAAACTAACAGTTTTAAGGGAAGAGTCCAAAAGATCAGAAGGCCCCTTAAAACCATCCTTCATCGGCTACCATTAAGTATTGTTAAGATTTTAAAACATCAAAAATTAATTTTGTTTTCATGATATTGTAAACAATATTTTAATGTAAAATAGCCAATAACTATAAACAGCATGAAATACTTCCAATTGCCAGAAAGAAGTGCTAGATTAAGGTAGGGGAGGGGGCTATAAAACGATTCTAAATAAAGAATTTGTAAAAAGAAGCTCTAAAAAGAAAATCTTTTACTAATGATATATAAAAAGGGTCTTTTGTTTTGAAAATAGCCCCAGGCCCTAAAAAGTCCTAATCCGCCATACCTAGAAAGTTTATAGTATACTTAGAACTTGAAATTTATTTTTGCTGCTGATATTCTATTATATTTTACTCATCTATATAACTTGTAATCTTTTAAGTCATCTATTAAACGTTATTTTGCTCTATAAACTTCATCTTTTTTCTTTTAATAACTTCCAATTCTAATAATGCTTGCAGCTCTGCCTTGTTGACAGAGGCGATTCTTCGAATGAAAGGAAGGGGGTTGAATCTTTAAAAAGTACCGACTGGCTTTTGTGTCAAATACCCGACTAGCCGACTAAAATCGCAAAAAAACCAAAAATCACCCTCTTCGCGGGGAAGGAGTGGCCATGATTTTTTTTTTTGTTTTTTTTTTGTTTGTTTTTCATTTGTTTTGTTTTAAAAAAAATAATCAACATACACATATACAAGAAAGAAAAAATATCTCTGTAGCACTGTTTTTGTATATACAAGCAAGCACTGTTTTTGTATATACAATATAAAATATAAACTTTTCTTATTACTATGATCTTTATAAAATAAAGAATTAAACAGGGCTCAAAAAAGATAAAGATGACAATAAATAATTGCAATCTTTTCATAGAGTCCCTATATACACTTTAAATAGTATGTAGATATTATATTAATAACCCTAATATATACTTTAAATAGAATGTAGATATTATATTAATAACCCATAAAATTACTGATCAGTAAATCAAATAAAGATAAAAAACTGAAAAAATAGAATCAAGTAACTTAAGAGTTACTCAAGAACAAATGAATCTCAAACTTTATTCTCAAAATTTATTCTCAAAATAAACTCAAAATTTATTTTTTGATTTGAAACTTAAAATGAACTCAATGACTTTGCCATACTTTTAAATCCTTTTTGATAGATATTCCATATATTTGGACATCGATATGCAATAATCAAAATACTTATTAAGGTTTTGAGGAAGTTTATATGAGTAACTTATATTTTCTCTTAGATAATAGTTTTCATTACTATTTATTTCAAAATTGTTGTTAAGGTTTTGAAGAGATTATTGTTGAAGCAATACATAAAAATTAAATGCTCTTTTTTTTTTTTTTTTTTTTTTGTTCTTATTATAATTTTTTTTGGTATTATATCGTTTTACATAAAATAAAAAGAACACGGAAACTCGAAGAGGATGGCAAGATCCTGTCACCGAGAACCGTTTAACAATGCGATACAAAATACCGATATTTACAATACAAGGTTTTTAATAAGCCAAAACCAAACATAAAATACCGTTAAAAAATGTCAAAATATGTAATAAAACTAAATATTTAAAAAAACTCGAAGATGTTATCAATTTTCAAGATAACTTTTTTCAGTTTATTTTTGAAAGTAAGATACAAAGTATCAAAGTAAGATTTTTGAAAATAAGATACAAAGTAAGTAACTACAATTTTTAGAAAAATCAAAGTTTTTTAACATTGTTTGGCTCCACAGAAATAAGAGATCTTCCAAAATTTGTGTGCGAATAATGTTGATGAATAAGATTGTTATTTCTTAATTCATATTTGTTTCTTGGTTTTATTGCATATAAATTTTGAAAAAATATTGGGGTTAAGTTTATCTTACATTTGTAAATAAAGCAAAGAACATTAAAAACATTTAGTTGATATATATTAAGAATATTCATCTCTATTAAAAGAGGTTTTACATGAGTATAACGATCTTTAAAATTTATTAGACGTGCTAGATGCTTCTGTTGCCGATAAAGAGGTTCTAATTGACTATTATTAGCACTACCCCACGCAATGTTAGCATAGTTTACATGGCATTGGATTAGCGAGTAATAAAGTTGAATTAATGCATGTCTATTTACAAAATTTCTCGCTTTATACAACACTCCAATATTTTTTGAGACTTTATTGCATAATGTTTCAATATGATTTTTCCATGTTAAGTTTTCATCAATGAAAACACCAAGGAAATGTATAACTTTTGATTGCTTTATTTGAACATTGTCAATATATATTTGAGGCATATCATTTGGTAAAAGTTGTTTTTTGGATTTAGGATGAAATAGAGTCCATTGAGTTTTTTCTAAGTTAATTGATAATTTATTTGTCTTAAACCAATTTGAAATTTTAACTAACTCTATGTTTATGTCATTAAAAAGTGTAACAATATCACTACTGGACAGAAAAAGGTTAGTGTCACCGGCAAACATCACTGTCGTTAAATTTGAGGCATTATGCAGATCATTAACATAGACGAGAAAAAGGAGTGGCCCCAGTATAGACTCCTGTGGAACGCCAAATGTTATATCTAGCAAATTTGTAGAGGAGGATACATCAATTTGCACAAACTGTTTACGATTGCTTAAATAGCTTTTTAGCAAATTTAGAAAATTTCCGCTGATTCCATAGTTTTTATGTTTTTGAATAAGAATCTCATGATCTATCGTATCAAAAGCTTTTGATAGATCAATGAAAACGCCAAGAGTAAATTGTGATTTTTCTAACGAATCTACAATATTTCTAGTTAAATAAAGTATTGCGTGTTCAGTGGAATTATTATTTTTAAATCCATATTGACTGGTATTTAATATTTTATTTTTAGAAAGATGATCATATATTTTATTGTAAAGAATCCTTTCAAAAACTTTTGAAAAACCAGAGAGTACAGAAATTGGACGATAATTAGTTATATTTGATAGTTCCCCTCCTTTAAAAATTGGTGAAACTTTGGCGATCTTTAGTTGGTCAGGAAATATCCCCTGTTTTATTAAACAACTAAACACTTGGAAAAGAATAGTTTTTATGTTCTCATAAGATGCAATTAAAATGTTACTATTTATTCCATCCGGGCCTTTTGCTTTATTGGTTTTTAGCATTTTGTAAGCACATTCAAATTCTTTCATGGAAATTTCAAAATTATTTAGTACGGAAATTATGGAAGGGTAAAATAATTTGTTGAGTTAGTTATAATTGGAACATTTTTAGCTAAGTTTGGACCAACAGTTATAAAATAGTTATTTATCTGATTTGCTATATCTTTTGGATTATTTAAAAAAACATCATTGTTTTTAATAACTTTTGGCAAGTTGCTTGTTTTACACTTACAGTTGCCAGTAATTTCATTTAAAATTTGCCACGTGCGCTTTGAGTTATTTTTAAACTTCTCTAGTAAGTTTGAGTAGTATTTTTTTTTTAAGTTTTTTCTTTGACATTCAAAATGCTTTTCGTAAGTTTTATAAATCTCCTTATTTTTATCAGTTTCGGACTTTAAATACTTTATATATAATTTTTGTTTAACTTTGGACGATTTTCTAAGTGCTTTTATAATCCATGGTGACTTAATACTTTTTTTTGTAAGACTTACTTCGTATTGAGGAAAGTTTGCGTCATAAACTTCAAAAAATGTTTTAAAGAACGAGTTATAAACTAGATTTCCTTCAGATGAGAAATTTATATGTTTTCAGTGTAGTAATAATAGTTGTTCATTAAACGAAATTAAATTTGCTTCACTGAAACATCGTTTAAAGAAAACTTGATTTGTTATCGGTACTAACTCAATGTCAATATTCATTGAGAAAAAAATCGGAAAATGATCAGAAACATCACTTCTAATTAAACCCTTTTTGATGGATTCATTAAAAGTATCCGTTGTCATAATGTTGTCTATTAAGGAAGCAGAATTTGAAGTTACCCTTGTTGGTTTATTGATTAACGGAATTGCGCCGTTTTCAAATAAATCGTTATAAAACCCATTTATTTTGTAATTTACATGATAATTGAATGCGTTTAAATTTATGTCACCAATTATGTAGTTTAATTTCTTTTCTATCGTAGTTTTTTTTATTATATCGGTAATTAAAAATGACTTAAAACTATTTATTTCACCAGATGGTGGGCGATAACAGCAACTTATAATTATATTTTTGTTTTTTTTGGCTAAGATTTCAATTGTTAAAACCTCTTTATCGGCCTCACGTCAGGCCTATTTATAAACCGCATTTCTTCGCTTACATAAAAAAGTACTCCACCTCCTCGTTTTTTAGTCTTGCGTGCTAAAGGTACAAGATAAAAACCAGGAAGATGGTGGTTTGAGTTAGATTTTGCCTCATCGGAGCTACACCAAGTTTCCGTTACGCATATAATGTTAAAAATGTTTAAAGCTTCCTCAATATTATTCCTAAAAGATTCAAAATTCTTTTTTAAGCTTCTTATGTTAAAGTGTATTACATTTAAGTGATCTCGTTCAAGAAATTCCTTTAGCTCATTGTTATAAAAATAGGAGCAATTGTTTAACAAAGCACCTGCTTCACTAAAATAAGTTGAACCAGGATCAGTATCTTTGTTTATAACAAATTTATTTGTTTGAAAAAAATTAAAAGAATTCAACTCAAAATTGTTTAGTAGTTTTGAGTTCATTTTTGTATTTTAAGATATAGAGCTTAAAGAATTTCATTGTGAATTTAAGCATGAAATGAATGTATAATAGACATTCATTTTTTGCAAATAAATTTATACAATGAAAGAAAATTCTCGTCAAATATTAAAAATCAAAAAATCAAAATAAATTTATACTTGGCAATCTTTTGCGTCAATTTACTTTTTCAGAACATTCGCGAACGATTAGCTTGTCGTAAGAGATAAACGCATATTTTCCCAGTTCTCGCTGCTTAAACATTTCATTCTTCAAGTCATTTCTTATCTGAACAGTTTCAAAACAAATGCCCTCATTTATGTAAATATTCATACCTTTTAATTTCACTGATCTCTTTATAATATCTGTTTTATCTTTATAGTTCAAGAGTTTTAATATTATTGTTCTATTTTTATTTTCACCTCTTGGTCCGGTTCTGTGCGCCCGTTCAATTTTCACATCTTTGATTTCAAGCGTCTCTTCAAATAATTTAAGCACTTTTAACTCACTTTCTTCCCATGTTTCATGCTCACTTTCTTTTATTCCGTTTATTCTTAAATTGTTTCTCCTAGATCTATCTTCTATCTCCCTTAACTTGTTATTTATTTTGTTCACAGTGCTCTTATCTTTTACTTGGCTGCTAATTTTCTTTGTTTTCTCTTTAACTATTTCAAATTTCGATGCAACTATTTCATCATTAACATGGATAAATTTTTTATTTTCATTCAATTCAGTTTCTAAAAGCAATATCTTTTGATTAGACGTTTCTAACGCATTAGTAATCGTAGCAATTTTAGCCGAGTTGTTTAAAATGTCTGATTCAAGTTTGTCAAATCTTCCGGTTATTATTTTTATATTCGCAGTCGTAATTGCAGTAAAACTTTTTTCTTGTTCTTTTAGCAACTTTTGAGTTTCTTCTATTATTGTGTTTTTTTGTTTATCCAATAGTACATTTACCATTAGTTCTATACTCGCCATAGTAAAATCCATTTTTAATTTAAGTTATGTAAATTTAAAGATAATCTTTTTCAAGAAAATAAAACACGTCCGATCGCTTTTCTCTTTATCATAGATATTTATTTCAAAAATATCCATCATTTTCATATCATTCATTATAGGTTTAGCGTGTTCACGCTTTTTTTTTAGAGTAAATGATTCTGCACGTACGTTTTTGTAAGCTATAAAATTTTCTAAGTTTTGATGGTTGAGTACTAGCTCACGATATATGAAAAATTTAATAGATGTCCCCCCTCCTCCCTCTAACCACTACCAAAATAATAATAATAAGAAATATAAAGCTATTTATAATTGCTTTATTTTTCTTATTTTCTCATTTTTTTTTAGTGTTCACAAAGTAATTTAAAAATTCTGTATTTATAACAGTTCACGAATCAAATAATTATAAAAAACAAAGAAATAAAATTATTTCTGAATTTGGTATTAAATTTTTCTGACGTTATACCAAGACTTTAAGATTTTTTCTAGCAGCAAAGTTGGAAGTTACAACATCGTAATTAACTTTCTTCGCTCTGTTTTGATTAAAAGGATAAAACAGTCGTCAAGACTATTCTGTTCCAAGGTAGTTCTTAGAGTGTTTTTGACGAGAGCAAATTTGATAAAAGATCTCTCGCCTTCAGCCACAGATACTAGCAAGTAAGTAAGATACGAAGGCATATGCATATCTGGAGGAAATTTTCTTCAAAATTCTTCGCATAAATGCTATTCAGAAGATCTATTTGTCAGTATATGGCGTAGAACAGACGAAAAATGGCAAAACTCATCAATAAACTTTTCTTCACTAAGATCAAGATACTTATATTTTTATTTGTTATTTGGTAAAAAAAATGACAAAAATACCAAACTGGTCATAAATTATATCTTGAGGTACTTTTTCAGAGTTTAGAAATTGTTTTTCAAAAGCCATTTATGGTGATATGCAACACAATATATAATTAAGTTGCTAGGAATTGGTGGAGTTACCCTACATGGAAACCAATAATCCATTTTAAAACCTTTTAGCAGCTTACCTAGATCAGACTGTATTTTATCATTACTCATAGTTTTATTTTTAACACTCCATTAGAATATGAGATTTTTTATTGCGTTGCGGTGTGCATATTTTAGTATATCTGCAATTATAAGTGGTTGTTATCACTACATAAATACTTTAAATTTTACAATTCTATTTTATCTTTTGTATGGTTAATTTCAATATTGAATATAAGGTTTTACTTCCAATAAAAATTCTAAGGGGTATGCCACCTTAATTTAAGGTAGTAGTTTAATAAAAACTTGTATTATATTTAAATTGCAATTTTTCTTTTAACTCACCATTTTTGTCGACGAGGAAACCTTGCTCTAATAAAATCTTATAAAAGTAATGAGCTAACGCTTGCTTTTATAAAAACTAAAGTAACTAATTCAAAGCTTATTTTCAACAAAAAACATTTTTTAAACAAAAAGAAAAAACAATTTCAAAAATTAAAAACTTGAACTAAAAATATATTTTTTATACATATTTATATTACAACGAATTTTTATGAAGAGAGCCTTTTATAGATGTTGTAAATACTTAACAACAATGTAATTTAGTATTTTATTTAGTCAAATAAAAATATTCAAGCTATTTCGGTTTCCACGAGATATTATTTAATCCTTGAAACTGTCTTTTTAAATGTGAAGAGTCTGACCAAGGAGAGTTTAGGTAGCTATCAAATTCGTCTTGTTCTAATTTCTGTAAAACAAAAACAAAACAAAAAAGTAAATATCAAAATACTTAATTGAAAATCTCTCTCTCTCTCTCTCTCTCTCTCTCTCTCTCTATATATATATATATATATATATATATATATATATAAAAATATTTCTGATGAGTCTTTATTGATGAAACACAGTGTTAAATGAGAAAAAATTTTGCTAAGTGATTTTCTACTAATTTGTAATTGCTCTGTTCTTTTAAGAACATTGAGCACTCTTTTTGTAGAATACATTTTAAATTGTTTAAATATATATATATATATATATATATATATATATATATATATATATATATATATATATATATATTTATTTATATATAACTATTATTATCATTTTTTCTTTGTTCTGATTCACTCCAAACAAGGCTGCAAGCAACCACTATTAAGTTGGGAGTTACTAGGAAAAAAGAATTGAGTTATAAAGCAAGGAAACGGTTAACAGAAGAGTTGAAAAGTTGAAGTTTGTCAGGAAAATATGAAGATGGGAGAGAATTCCAAAGGGTTGAGGTGCGGGGAAAAAAACTAGGTGAATGAAAGTTTTTAGAGCAAGCAGGAACATATACAGTAAAAGGATGAGACTTCGCTGAATGACGAGTCAAGCGAGAATGAGTCTTAGTTGATGGAACTAAGAGATAATAGCTCCTTTGAGCAGCGACCATGATAGTATTTGTAGAAAAGATCCATCTTTTTTTATCCCATATATATCAATAAAGTAAAAAAAATTGTATATACAAAGCCAGTATACACTTTGGATCAAAAGTTAGGTAACCTCCATAGAGTAACCTAAAATTTAAGTTTTCATATCTAAATTTTATGAAATAAACTATGTATTATGCACACTAAATGTATTCAATGTACACTAAATGTACACTAAATGCGCACTAAATGCACACTAAATGTATACTAAATGTACACAAAATGTACACAAAATGTACACTAAATGTATACTAAATGTATACTAAATGTACACTAAACGCACAATAAATTCACATAAACGTACACTAAATGCAAATTCACACTAAATGTACACTAAATGTGCACTAAATACACACTAAAAAATACATTAAATGCAGACTAAATGTACACTAAATACAAACTAAACTTATGAGTTACATAAAACTTAAAAAAAAAGGCTCAAAATTTCATTTGTAATTTGAAACACATTTGAAACATAGGAGGATAGAAGGAACTACAAATTATAGTGTATAAGTATTTTATAATTTTAAAAATCTTAAAGAAAGAATATCTTAATAAAAAATCACTAAATTACAAAACCTTTATTTCTTCTTGTCGCCTGTAGTAATAAGCCATCATTGCCTTTTGTTCTTCTTCACTAATTATTGGCTCGCGAGAAGGAGCATTTTGAGATTTCTATAGAAATTTTTTTTTTTTTCAAGTCATGATAATTGTACTTATATATAATTATACTTTTATTAATTATATTATATATAATTATACTTTTATTAATTATATTATATTTTACCTTCTGAAGCTTAACGACAACTTTAGTTTTTTCATTTTTACCAATAAAATCTTCTAGTTTCTTACCACGTTGCAATTCTTTACCAGCCCACCACAAAGTAGAATCAGAATCAAGAACTTCTTTTAATGCCTAGATGTATTAGAGCTAAAATGAAGGAAATTTCAAACATGCCACAACTATATCACCATGACAACTGTTCAAAAGCCCAACAGTTGAGATGCTTTGTACTTTTATGTACATAAAACAATTTTATTAACAAATTTACTTCTAAAAAATTGCTATTTAAATTAAAGTTTATTTTTAAAAAATGTTTAAAAAAAACAAAGAGATGTTAAAAAATGTTTAAAAAAAAAACAAAGAGATGTTTGCAGAATTAAATGCAAATAATAAGTTAGGAAAAATGTATATACATACATACATACATACATACATACATACATACATACATACATACATACATACATACATACATACATACATACATTCTTCCTGATGAACCTACTGATGGTGAAACAATTTGTAGAAGAAAAAAATCAAGTAAGTGTTTTTACTAACTAATTATTGCTCTGTTTTTTAAGAACATATACACACACATACATACAATATAAATGAAAATAAAAACCTAAAAACTAAATAGAATGACTAACAATAAATAAATAGCAAAAAAGAAAATGACTAGTAAGTATAAATAGACTAGCAAAAACAAATGCAACCTTAAAAAGATAACAGTAAAATTAATATGTACAAAGCAAAAAAATATATATATATATAAAAAACCAGTAACAAATGTACAAAGTGTTTATTATGAAATGCTCTGAAACAACAACAAGGTGTTTTTTAGATCCAAATAACAAATATATAAGACCAAATGATGGCAGTTTATCAGAAGAAAGTTTTTTGGATCTCTGTGGTAGATCTCAGAAAGACTATCAACAACTGTAAAATACCAGAGTACTAATAACTACACGCTGCACAAAAATTGTGTCTCTGACTGTGCTTTTGGTGAGACCACAAAAAGAGCCATCGGTTCAAACTTTAGGTTTGTTAACAAGAAAAAGGCGATTGTATAGTTTCATGATAATAATGCAAGTAGTATGTTTAAATTAAGTTTTCTTTAATTTTAAGTTTTTTATAATCTTAAATTTTTCCTGATCTCAAGTTATTTCAAATTTTTAAGTTTTGATCTCCGCAGTATCAAAAGTCTTCAAAGTAGCTTTTCACCTATTAAATCTTGGCCTCTTCCAAAATTAACTATCCTATTTACTCCTAAAACGATAACTTAAACTTGGTTGTCTCTTTATCAGGTTTCACTGTTAATGACTATTTTCTGATTTGTATTTGTAAGAGCAAGTTTAAGTATATCACTAGTTACATACTTGAACTTGGACTCATCAATTCATCAGTTGTAAAATCAAATTTAATCAATAATTTTTTTGAAGTTGTTTAGCAAGACTTTGCTTAATCACCTTCATCTTTGTTCTTTATTGTTCTACTTCTTTAAGACTGTACATTTTTTATTGTTATTTCTGATCAAATTTAAAAATTCTCTTCATCATATAATTCTATACAGATTCTTATTATCTAGCTGATTTGCTAATAACAGAAAAGTTCGTGTGTTAGATTTTAATTTAATAAACTATTAAATAAAAATGGATGTTTATATGACATTCATATTTATACCTTAATAATATATAAGCATGGAACACTATTTTTCTACCACTAGAACTAGAACTTCAATAACTTCTCATTACCTCATACCTATAACTTCTCAATACCTCATACCTATAACTTCTCAATACCTCATACTTATAACTTCTCAATACCTCATACCTATAACTTCTCAATACCTCATACCTATAACTTCTCATTACCTCATACCTATAAATTCTCAATACCTCATACTTACTTATCTCATACATACCTCAAATTACCTCATACTTACTTATCTCATACATACCTCGTATTACCTCATACTTATAATTTTGCATAAACTCATACCTACAACTTCTGTTATCTCATACCTATAACTTCTTGTAAACTCAAATCTATAACTTCTTATTACATCATAATATTATATCTATAGCCTCAGCACTACTTAGAATTAAATATTTCCCCGTATAAACATGAAAACTTAAATATATGCAAATTATTAATTAAATTTAGAGATCATAGAACTAGTATTAAGATACATTAAGTTTATAAAATTTTTAAAACTGTCTAATGACTAAAACCTGTGTTCCAGATAAATCTTCATTTCCATCTAATTCCATCTTGATTGGATCATAAGGTGGAAGACCCATTGGATAAACAATCATTATTGCACCGCGCATTTTATCCAATGCATTTTTAACATCTGCATATGTTAGACTTTTGTCTGCTTTCACCAAATCCTGTAACATAAATGAAATTTATAACATTTAATATACTGTTAATACTAGATAAAATGTCTATAATAACATTACAATCTAATGTTGCAGTTACAATCAAGTGTTGTAGTTACAATTTAATGTTGTACTTACAATCTAATGTTGTACTTACAATTTAATGTTGTACTTACAATCTAATGTTGAAGTTACAATCTAATGTTGTAGTTACAATCTAATGTTGTAGTTACAATCTAATGTTGTAGTTACAATCTAATGTTGTAGTTACAATCTAATGTTGCAGTTACAATCTAATGTTGTAGTTAAAATTTAATGTTGTACTTACAATCTAATGTTGTAGTTACAACTTAATGTTGTACTTACAATCTAATGTTGTACTTACAATTTAATGTTGTACTTACAATTTAATGTTGAAGTTACAATCTAATGTTGTAGTTACAATCTAATGTTGTAGTTACAATCTAATGTTGTAGTTACAATCTAATGTTGTAGTTAAAATTTAATGTTGTACTTACAATATAATGTTGTACTTCTGCTACAGCATGGGGCTCACAGTGGCTGGTGAACTTTAATTCAGATAAAACTCAATTTTATTCGGCCAATCGTTATCGTAATAATTTAGATCTTCCTATATTTATGAATGGTAATGTACTAGATGAGTCATCTACCATTCATCTTCTAGGATTAACTCTTACTTCTGATCTTTCTTTTAAACCGTATATCAAATCCATTGCAAAATTAGCATCTGCTAAGGTTGCATCTCTTTATCGAGCTCGACACTTTCTTACTCCAGATTCTATTCTCTATCTCTATAAATCTCAAATCCGTCCCTGTATGGAATACTGTTGCCACATCTGGGGCGGATCTTCTAATGATGCTCTTTCTCTTTTAGACAAGGTGCAAAAACGAATTGTAAACATAGTTGGACCTGCTCTGGCAGCCAATCTCCAACCTTTGTCACATCGTCGTAATGTTGCTTCTCTTTCTCTTTTCTACAAATACTATAATGGGCACTGCTCTAAAGAGCTAGCGTCCCTTGTGCCATCTACTAAAATTCATTCTCGTGTTACTCGCCATTCAATTAAGTCTCATCCTTTTTCTGTGACTGTTCCTAAGTGCTTCAAAAACTCTTATTCTTCTAGTTTTTTTCCTCGAACATCAGTTCTTTGGAATTCGCTTCCTTCGTCTTGCTTTCCTGATTCATATAATTTGCAATCTTTTAAGTCATCAGTCAATCGTTATCTTGCTCTACAGATTTAGTCTTTTCTCTTCCAGTAACTTCCAACTCTTATAGTGGTTGCTTGCAGCCTTGTTGGAAGCGAAGATGTTAAAAAAAAAAAAAAAAAAAAAAAAAAAAACTTACAATCTAATGTTGTAGTTACAATCTAATGTTGTACTTACAATCTAATGTTGTAGTTACAATCTAATGTTGTAGTTACAATCTAATGTTGTAGTTACAATCTAATGTTGTACTTACAATCTAGTGTTGTAGTTACAATCTAATGTTGTAGTTACAATCTAATGTTGTAGTTACAATCTAATGTTGTAGTTAAAATTTAATGCTGCAGTTACAATCAAGAATTGCAAATACATACTAGTGTTGTAGTTACAATTTAATGTTGTAATTAAAATAAAATGTTGTAATAACAATAAAAGAGTGAAATCAAAATTTTATACAAAAGTGAAATAGACAAATTTCCTCTCCAACACCACTCCTCCCTCTTTATACTTTAACAAACTTTTCTTTCTTTTGTTTGAAAAAAAAATCTTTTGTTTTAATCTGTTGTTTTAAGTAGAGAAATATCAAAATTTGATGTTTTATAAAACTTTATTTGTATTTTACAATTAATTACAAGTCATCTAATTACAAACAATAACTAGAGAATCATTACAATTAAGTCTTTTTAGAATGCTTTTGCAGTGATTATTTGCAAATAGTTTGTGCAACTTGAAATTTGTTTCATTGTTTTTAAGCATATTTTGTTCATAACGATTTCTTCAAGTTGGATGTTAGAACTTGTAAGCGTGATTTCTTGAGTGATGCCAACTGATTTCTTTAGTGATGCTAATTGGTTCCTTATGTAGTTTTTTTTTCAAGGTGGTCTGTGGTGTGGTGGTCTGTGGTGTCTGCGTGATGAACTGCATCAAGTTTGTTGCTTGGTATGAATATGATTTTTTTTTGTATGATCAATGTTTTTAATGCAAAAGTTGTTGAATTTGTTACAAACTTTTTGTGGTGAATAATAGACTTGTGTTAAATAAATCTCTGACATGTGCAAAGATTTTGTCACCAAATTAGTAATGCTTAATTAAAGAACAATTTTAAATCATTATTTATAAAAAGAATAAAAAGAAAAATACAAGAACTGCTTTAGTCTGATTTGCAACAGTTGCAATTTGCATTAATGCAAACTTGCATGCAATCCAGGTTGTAATCAAATTTAAAATACTTTGTTAGTTTGCTAAGAAGAAAGTTTTTAAAAAGTAAAAATAATAGAAATAAAAGAAAATAAGAAAATAAAAATAAAAATGAAATCCGAAATACTCACCAAACAATGATATACACACAATTACATAAGATAAATAATAAATATTTCAATAATTAACAGTAGATAATTCATACCTCAAACTTTTAACCTTATTTACTCTCAAACTCAGATTTCAATTTTATGCTCCTTTACAAATTGTTAAAATATATTTGAAAAAGTCAAAATAGAAACTAAAAAACGTCTTTTTTTTTTTTTTTTTTTACAATTATTTTGGTACTTGAAGCCTTGTAAAGCTATTGATTGATTTATTATTTGCTAATATAATATTTAGAATTGTATATGATGATGTTTTCAGGTCACTAATAATTTTCTATATGAGGTTATAAAACTTGGGTTTTGTGTTAATCCTCAAAATACCATTTAATTACCAATAACATTTTTTCTATTTTTATTAAATTTTTTTAAATTATTATATTATAATAGAAAGTTACACATTCTTTAACACATATTAAACAGGTTTTAAATAAACAAGGTCTCAATAAAAGTGGTCTTAATAAACAAGGTCTCATTAATAATGTTCATAATAAACAAGGTCTCGTTAAACACGGATATATAAAATACGGTCCTAATAAACCTTTAGCTGTATATTATTCTAGTAATATGGTCCAATAATTTGCCCCAGTAACTTTTTGCAGTAGTTTATTCCTGCAATATGTTCCATTAATTTGTTCCAGTAATATGTTTCATTAATTAGTTTCAGGTATTTGTCCCAGTAATTTTTTGGGTACTTTGTTTAATTAATTTTTTTTTTCCAGTAATATGTCACAGCAGTTTTTCCAAAAAATCCAGGAATATGATCCAGTAATTTGTCCCAGTAATTTCTGTTAGCAGTATGTTTTAGTAATTTGTTTCAGTAATATGTAACAGAAATTTTTTCCAGAAATATGTTCTAGTAATTTATTATAGTAATATGTTGCAGTTATTTTTCTTTTAATATGTTCATCAATCATCAGTAATCATCAGATATGCTCAGTAATTTTCAGATCAAATCAAAATGATCATGATCATCCTACTACTGGCAACATGTAATTAAGTACAACCTACATCATATTTTGATGGCTTGCAGAATTAGCTATTCAAAGCAAAAGATAGAAGAAGTTAACTCTAACTTAAACTGCTTTGGGTCTATCATTTGAGTAAAAGCTAAAAACAGTATCAAAATAAAAACAATCGTACTAGCCAGCTGTCAACTGCACCTAGTCACCAACGCCTACGAGAAAATTTTTGTTGACCAGTCTTGGGCACCTCTTTTTCATTTAACAGGCTGACAGAAATCTGTATTACATTGTAGGATGATGAATGCTGGATCTTTATGACTTCTTCTTGTAAGTGGCTATGCAACTCCTTCTGATATCTCCTAATAAGAGTACAAATTAAAATTTATTACTTATACTAATAAATTTCAAATTATTACTATAAGTAATAAATTGAAATTTATTAGTACAATATTATAATTATCCAGATCTTGTTGTTGTTTTCTTTATTGCAAGGAAATGAAACTTTTCGGAAACAAAATCATTAAGATATGGAACAATCGCAACATCAGTATAAATCTGTTTGCAAATTGATACTCATTTGTTATTCTAAAACTAATTTTAAGTTTTAAAATGGGTTAGTGAAGGCAGTTCTGGTCCTTAGAACAGTTTTTCTCATAAAAAATATTTTCAACTCTATTACATACAGAACAGAAACCAAAAACTATTTTTATTTAATGATAAAACTTTGTTGGTTTTTAGTTTTTTACAGCAATGGTAATTTTTCGATAGAATTTATTTTTTATTAGGGCAATGCTAAAATTGTCAAATCTTTGGAACCATTCAAAATTTAGTCAATTCCAAGATTTAGAGTTACCCAGGTAACCCAGTCTTATCCAGGTAAGAGATTACCAAAGTCAAAAGTTAAAAAATTTTTCTCTTTTATTTAAAAGAATGTTTGCCAACACTAAAACTCTTAGTTGATGCATGTTTACTCTGCTGGACCTATGACTTTATCATTTAATGTATGTCAGGGGTGTACCCTCATGTCATCCGGTGGCACAGGACGACTCATTTTCTCCAAGGGCGACTGAAATTAAAAAAGAATGCCTGTCACTAGCCCAGCAGGACGTCCAAACAATTTGTTATTTACAAAAGTGTGTTTATTAATAAAACCATATTTTAATCTATGATCTTATTATTTGCAATTATTTAAAAGAAAACTTTAAAAAGGATATAAAATAGTTTAACAATAAGTACACTACAGTGTACTATTTTACCAAACTTAATAAAAAAAAACACACACACAGATAATTTAAATTAACTAAACTGTTTTTTTAAATAGTGTCATTGCATTTGGAAGCACGTTTCTTCCAAATTTAAAATGAGTTTTAAAATTACATTTTTTTTTCACTTCTAAATGCAATTGTATCATTTTTCAAACCTTATAGTCACATTTTGAATCACGTGAATGGGCAGTTTAATCATTAATAACACTGAATCTCTTTCTTTTATTAAAAAAATAAATTTTTACTTTTTCAAACAAAATTAACAAAATAAAAAACATTATTAAGATGCATATGAAAAATTATTATTAGAATGCAATTAACGATGCACGTGGCAATTCTTTTTTCAAAAAAAAAAGTCTTAGTATAATGAAAAATGTTAAAAACATTAAAAATATGTTTTAAACATTCAACTAAATTAAATTCGATTGAAGATTGAGAGAAAAAAATAGAATATTTTTCTATATATAAAACATTTCTTTGCAGTTTTCAATTTTTCATTTCTTTGCAGCTTTCAACTTTTTTGCTTCACATAATGAAATCTTTGTTAAGATTGACAAAAAGAAACAAAAGGATACAGATATTAGGCCAGGTAAATAAAAAAAAGCAATTGCTTTTACTCAGCGATTTTGGAGTGTTCAGCTCCAATAAAAAGATTTTGGAGTAATAGTTCAGCTTTGCGTGAATAAAAATTTCATCAAACTCTCTCAAACTTTTATTCACATAAAGATAAGCAATTTACTCCAAAAAGACAGAGTTATTCAGCTTGACGTGAATAAAAGTTTGAGCATAATTGTTGAAGCAATTACTTTTATTTATTCACCTAGCCTATTGACTAGGACAAAAATAACAACACATCTTTAATTAATTTAATTAATTAATTCACTTTTGAATAAATCGTTTCTTATTAGACATATTTTAGTATTCAGACGTTTACATTTTTTTTCTTCAGTATTTCCTCCCAAGGAAAATATAAAAAAAAACTTTTACACTGGACTACTAATTATTATAGCAGACGACTCAAATGAGAAATAAAAACTTTTTTAGTCGCTCACATGTTGATCAGGAAAAAACTGGAGGGTGCACCACTGTATGTACTCTCCACTGTACTTTCGGAATATCAGTCAATATGTGTTCACTCTGTTGCACCTATATTAGTTAATGTATGTACACTTCACATAAAGAAGTAAAAAAGCAAAAACAAAAGCAGTGCCCCCAGACTGTTTTTGAGACCTTTTTAAAGGGGGCAACCAACCTTTTTTCAGAAAAAATAAACAATGGTTGGTTATTTTCCTCTAAAAATGGTTCAAGAGATGGAGATGTCTGGCACCGAGGTTCAACCCCTGTTTGTTGTTGTGCTATGTGTAGTATTGTTGCATTGCATTACATGATGTTATATGTTATATTGCATGGTTTATACTAAATGTCGTTGTTCACATTATAATAAAACTACAACACAAAGAAAAAGCTTTACTTCTTTTAATGTGATCATTAAGCAAATAGAAAACATAAAAAAACTTATAAAGACAAATAATTTACTAAAAAAAACTAACTTTGGAAACTTGAGCTTTAGCATCATGACGCGTCCGCTTTATCACATCAGCCATTTTTGCATTGGGAGAAACCCCATTTCTTCTTCCAATAGGATCTTTGTTAAACACACTTCCTCCTTGGGGATAACAGCTTTTTGACCAGCTATCTTGTAACTTTAATTCAGAAATCTGTTCTTCTGTTAAACCTTGCATATTAGATGGTAACATTATTCCATGTAACTCTAATGATTCCATTTCTAAAAATTTTTTAACAGTATTTAATTAGTCCTAATAAAATAATTTTATTAGGACTAATAAAATAATTTTATTAGGACTAATAAAATAATTTTAATTATATATATATATATATATATATATATATATATATATATATATATATATATATATATATATATATATATATATATATATATATATATATATATAATTTTTTTTATTTTAGGTGGCCCAAGAAGTCCTTACAGTCTTAAAATAGAGCTCTGCGGAAGAGCATTCGAAATGAAGTTCATGCCTCCTTCCTTACTGATATTATGAAACTTGCCCAGAGGTAGCGTTGAATCACAGATCTCTAGCTTCTGAGGTAAGCGTGCTAACCACTGTGCTATGGCTGCTGAACTGTGCTGCAATTGCTCATATATATATATATATATATATATATATATATATATATATATATATATATATATATATATATATATATATATATATATATATATATATATATATATATATATATACATATATATATATATATATATATATATATATATATATATATATATTTATATACAAACCTCGAATTAGAAAAAATGAGGTCGGCAAAAATTTACAGACCTCAATCATTTAGGAAAAAATTATTTGATACAAAGGTCTTACAATAAAACATAGAAACGAGGTCAGCAATATTTTGCCGACCTCAACCACTTTCAGGTTGGCAGTCATCATTGCCGACCCTAATTCCGAGGGTTGTATATATATATATATATATATTTATATATGTATATATATATATATATATATATATATATATATATATAAATATATATATATACAAACAACCAATATATATATATATATACATATATATATATATATATATATATATATATATACACATACAACAATATATATATATGTATATATATATATATATATATATATATATATATATATATATATATATATATATATATATATATATATATACATATATATATATATATATATATATATATATATATATATATATATATATATATATATATATATATATATATACAGAGATGTAGGTCTCGGTCTCAAGACACCTTGAGACTCATATTTAACTGTCTTGGTCTTGGCATTGATCTTGAAGCCTAAAATCTTGGTCTTCGTCTTGGTCTTGAAAACCTAGAGTATTGGTCTTGGTATCCGACCTCTAATATCTTTTACTTTCTTGATTCTTACAAAAAATATCAACTCAACGAATGGATTAGTTATTAATAACAAACCATAGATAGCCACAACTTCACACTCTCAATGAGAGTTTGTTGCCTTGGCTTGACATGGTTTTAACTGAAATTTTTTATTTTAGGATAATTAAATAAAAATCTTTTAATTTTTTTTAATGTTTAATTAAAATTATTTATATTATAATTTTTTTATTTAATTGTGTATTCTTTTTATACAGTAATAATATGTAAATATTATTTACTGTATAAAAACCGTATAAAGAGAGAGTATGGAGAAGACCAACATACCAAATTTTATCAAAGGCTTTAGAAAAGTTAATAGCAATACACCTAACCTCTCCATATTTATCTAATGCACGATACCTTACGGCTATTATCATTAACAAATCAGCAGCAGAACATGAAGATCCAAATCCATATTGATGATAAGAAAGTAAGTTAATATATTCAAGATAAAAGATTATATGTTTATAAAAAAAAGATTCAAAAGCCTACCTTAAGATAAGAAGAAGAATAATGGGACAGTAGTTAGATGAGGCAAATTGCTCTCCAGAATTTTTGAAAATTTATATTTGTCATATTTATTTATTATATTTGTCAGCTATATAAGGTAGGATGTGATTAGTGGAATCAAGAGATAAAATTAATGAAAAGTGTTTAGAAAACAGCTCAGCTTTGTCTTAAGGTAAATTTTTTTTTTTTTTTTTTCTTAATTATCTTCGCTGCCAACAAGGCTGCAAGCAACCGCTAATTAGTGTTGGAAGTTACTGGAAGAGAAAAGATGAAGATTGTAGAGCAAGATAATGATTGACAGACAACTTTAAAGATTGCAAATTATATGAATCAGGAAACCAAAATGAAGGAAGCGGATTCCAAAGAACTGATGTTCGAGGAAAAAAACTAGACGAATAAGAGTTTTTGGAGCACTTAGGAATAGTAACAGCAAAAGGATGAGACTTAATTGAATGACAAGTAACACGAGAATGAATTTTAGTAGATGGCACAAGAGACGCTTGCTCTTTCGAGCAGTGCCCATTATAGTATTTGTAGAAAAGAGAAAGAGAAGCAACATTACGACGATGTGACAGAGGTTAAAGGTTGGCTGCAAGAGCATGTCCAACTATGTTTACAATGCATTTTTGCACCTTGTCTAAAAGAGAAAGGGCATCATTAGAAGATCCGCCCCAGATATGGCAACAGTATTCCATACAAGGCCGGATTTGAGATTTATAGAGATAGAGAATAGAATCTAGAGTAAGAAAGTGACGAGCTCGATAAAGAGAAGCAACTTTAGCAGATGCTAATTTTGCAACAGATTTAATATAAGGTTTCCAAGAAAGATCAGAAGTAAAAGTTAATCCTAGAAGATTAAGGGTAGGAGACTCATCGAGTACATTACTGTTCATAAATATAGGAAGGTCTAAACTATTGCGATAACGATTGGCCGAAAAAAATTGAGTTTTATCTGAATTAAAGTTCACCAGCCACTGTGAGCCCCATGCTGTAGCAGAAGTGAGATCCTTTTCAAGCTCAGATGCCCCCTGCAAGCAATCAGAGGGAGTTGGCTTCTTATCGTGACAAAAATAAATGGTAGTATCATCAGCGAACAACGCCACCTTAGATGTGAGAATATCTGGAAGATCGTTAATGTAAATTAAAAAGAGTATAGGGCCAAGGATTGAACCATGAGGAACCCCTGAGGTTACAGAATAAGAAGAAGAGTGCTATCCATCAAGGACAACTTTTATACTACAATTGGAAAGGAAGGATTCAATAATCTTAAAGATGTTTCTTGATACACCGTAAGAAAAAAGCTTATGGAGAAGACTAGCATGCCAAACTTTATCAAACGCTTTAGAAATGTCAAGAGCAATGGCCTTAACCTCTCCACCTTTATCTAATGCGCAATAAAACCTATTGGTTATAACTGATAGCAAATCAGCCGTAGAACAAGAAGATCGAAATCCATATTGAAGATCAGAAAGAAGGTTATGAGATTTGAGATGAGAGATTAAGTGTTTGTTAATTAAAGATTCAAAAACCTTGCTTATGATAGGAAGAAGACTAATGGGACGGTAGTTAGACGAATCGGATCGCTCTCCAGAATTTTTAAAAATAGGGATAACAGATGCTGCTTTCCAGCAGGCTGGAAAACAAGACTCTGATAAGCACTTGTTAAATAGTTTTGAAAGGATAGACGACAGCTCCGGAGAACACTTCTGCAAGTGTATAACAGGTATGTTGTCCAGGTCGCAAGCTGTAGAAGAGTCTAAGCTGGAAATCACTCTAGATACAGAAGCTGGAGTGATACGAATGTCGAGCAGTGGATCAACCTGTTTGACGGCTATATCAGGTAGAACATAACTAGTGGCATCAAGAGATGATATTGATGAAAAGTTCTTGGCAAACAATTCAGCTTTGTCTTTAGGTGAGGTGACAAAGTCTGAACCATACAAAAGAGGTGGAATTACAGACTTGTCCTTATTATTGATACTATTAAAGATTCTCCAGAAGTCACAAGAGCCTAATTTTTGTGATGAAATACAAGATTTCATGATCTGAGAATAGCGGGCTTTCTCAGATCATGAAATCTTGTATTTCAAGACAAAACCTTTTTATAATGTAAAAAATTTGATGCATCAAGTAACATTTGATGCATCAAGTAACAAAACATTTGATGCATCATACATTTGATCAATTTGCATTGCATCAAATTGATGCATCATACATTTGATGCATCAAGTAACAAAATCTGAACAATGTAAGAGAGGTGGAATGACAGATTTGCCCTTATTATAGACAATGGAGCCAAATTTTTAGATGACAATATATATATATATATATATATATATATATATATATATATATATATATATATATATATATATATATATATATATATATATATATATATATATATATATATATATATATACACAAGGTTCAATTAAACCATGATTTAAACCAAGTTAAGAAACAAGATGAGAATAATAAAAACAAAAAAGCTTGTTTTTATAAATAGAACATCAAACAACGATGTAGTGATTGAACTATAGCAGTAATAGAAAATCTAATTTACTCGAGTAAAATGTGTAATACTTTTTTGAAATCGTAAATGTTGATTAAACACAGCTTTTTTCAAAAAAGGAGTTTAAACCAAAAAACCACAGTATTTTTGTTTTGTTCATTTAAAAAGGCATTTTTTTTTCAACACTTATTTTGCATAAACTCAAAACCCCTTCAAAAATAACATATATATTGCAATAATATAATAAGATCATTTGAAAAATTCATACAAGACCCCAAAACACAATCTTTTGAGTTGTCATTCATAAAAGTTGCATTATTTTACTGTAAGAGTTCCTTGAAAACTTTATTGAAACTTTTATTATTCTAGTTCTTTCTCTTTAAACATCAATTAAAATTCTCTCCAAGCATCTTACCTAACCATAGTTTTGGGCATTATTGTCGAGTAAATATTCTTTCCTTGTTTCTCTTTTCCTTATTTAGCACAGTCGCCATAATTCTAAATCTGAAAATGACTCTAATGACATCTTTTGATGCAAAAAGATGTCATTCATCTAATACTTGTTTCAAAAAGAAACAAGTATTAGCAAGAAACCTTGCAGAAATATTTCCATACTTTTTATTTGTTACAAAATTATTCAAGAAATAACTATTAGATGTTTTACTATCCCAAAATGTGGTTCTAAAAAAGTTCTAACAAAAAGATAAAAAATCAAAAACTGACAATGGACTCCCCATTTTATTGTAAAATTTATTAGCATAGTTTGATGGCATTAGGTATAACACAGCATTCCCAAATGATATAAAATTTCAAAAGGACAAAAAAACAAAGATAAAATATATTATAGCATTAAGCCCTTCAGGTCTGCAAATCTTTCAGTTGCAACATGTACACTACTTTTAGCTATGTTAAACTTATTTTAAGTTAACATGTTTTAAATTCAAACTGTTAACATTATGTTTTAAATTCAAACTGTTAACATTATGTTTTAAATTCAAACTGTTGCTTATGTTTTAAATTCAAACTGTTGCTTAAAGCATTTTAATAAAGGAATGATTTTCAAGGGTTTGAAATTATAGAGTTGAAAAAGGGTTGTAATCACAATTAAAGGTAGCCTCCTCAACTTTAGTGGCCTTCTCAGCCTTGGGGAGGTGAATTTATATATATGTATATATATAAAAAGATTCTAACTAAGACATTTGATTGGACATACATTAGGCAACTTAATATAGTAATGACCATATACTTATTACAGTGTAATAAGTATATGGTAATTAAAAATTATCTAACAATAAAATTTGAACATATTTTAACATAAACATGTTTTATTTAACAATTTGACATAAACTAAGAACATTTAACATAGTTTATCATAAATATTTTTTATTTAAAAATTTTCACATAAAATAACAACTTTCAACAACTTTAACATTTTATAATTTAACAAAGAACTAACATACCATGAAATAAGCGATCAATTTTAAGTCTACCATTGTAAATTTTTAAAAGCTCTTCAATAACAACATCAACTTGCTCTTTGACAGTTGTTTCAAAAATAAATTGACTTTCATCACCTCTTTTGACATGAAGTTTGACCATTATTAATTAAACTATTAAACAAAGATCTTTATTTAAAAAAAAATTATTATTTATTAACAATAAAGATAATGATTCATGATTTATTAAACAATTAAATGTGTTAGAAAAGATAAAATTCAAATTTCAAAATTCAACAAGTTAATTGTACTAAAAGTTTTTCAGACAAGTTATATTAGTCTTATTACAGAGTACTCAACTTATGAAGAAAAACTTCAAATCAAAAAACTCAACCAAGTGGATTCTGCAAACTATTAGTTAAAGACAAATGTCTTCTGACATTTGTCTTTAACTAATGAGGTTCTCTTCAGATTTTTAGCTTATTTAGTATCTGACATATGGCTCAGGAAGTGGATATACAAACACTTTATTCTTAAAGATTTTTGAAATTAAAAAAAAAAGACTTGTATAGGATTTTTATTAAAACTGAAAAAATTAAAAATTTCAAAAATTATCAAAAAAGTAAGTTTATTGCAAAATATCAAAAAAGAATGAAAAATAACAAAAGAGAATATGCAGTGGAAAAATAACAAAAGAGATTGTGCAGTTGAAAAAAAACAAAAGAGATTGTGTTGTGGAAAATAGAAAATGTTATAAGGTTTAATAAAAATATTATAATCAACTGTATACAACATAGATATATAAATTACTGGATACAGCATAGGTGAAATAATGAAGCCTTTACCTTGATGACGTAGAGTGAGGCAGACATTCAGTTTAATCAGCGTAAATGATGAACAATGTTTATAATTTACTTTCAAGTTATATTTTGTATTGTATAGTTCATAAAACAATAACTTCGAACGAATTGGAATTCATTTATAGTTTATATATATCTTAATTACAGACGAACTTAATAAAATAAATTTTAGCTGACTCAAAATTATAAAATTTTAAAAATCCAAAAAAAAAAAAGCTTATAAAATACTGCAATGTAAATAATAATTTGATTAAAATAATATACCACAAATTACTTAATGAACTTGTATAATGTTGTATAATGCAAGATTTATATGGGGCTTTGAGACTAACATTGAATATAAAATTATACATCTATATTTATGTATAATATATTTATCTATAATATACATATATCTTTGTGTGCAATATATTTAAAGATTTAGTACTTGTTTTAAAATGGTTAATTCGTGCAGTGCTTTTGGGTGTACAGCTAGATCTGCTAAAAGAGTCTCCAGAAGTTTTCATATGTAAGAATTTAGTATCTATATAATAAAAACGATTTGTTTCTGAAGAATCAATAGAAATTTATTATCTTGATTTTAAAAGACAAGCACTGTATGTATCATGAATTCTAGCTATGCATTTTTAAATAGATTTCCTGTCAACCCAGATAAAAAAGCAGCTTGGGTTCTTGCAACAAAGCGAAAGAATTTTGTCCCCACTTCTGCTAGTTTTATTTGTTCAGATCATTTTTCTAAAAATTGCTTTTATGAAAGCAAAACATCAAGTTACTGTTTGAGAAAATATCTGAAACCTGATGCAATACCAACAATTTTTGATTTTCCAAAACATTTAAAACCAACCACTAGTAAAATTTGAAAAACACCTACAGAAAGAATGCTGAAAAAACAGATAGAGAAAGAAAAAAATGACAGTTTTTGAGAATGCTTATAAAGAAAAGGTGATTAGTACAAAGAAAAAAATGAGTGTAGAAGATTGCATGGAAACTGATTCAGACAACTTGCAAACTGTCAACAAGAAGTTGTCTTTTGTATTAAATACTTATAAATAACAGAAAAAACAAATGTGTAATGCAACAAAAGCGCAGACTCAAAAAAAAAGTTGCAAAACTTCAAAATGTGATCAATGAGTTACAAGAAAAACATTTAATTAGTGATGAAGCCACAGCAACTTTAAATAGTGTTAATCCTGGTGTAAATGATTTAATTCGAAAACTGAAATCTAAAAGCAAATTAAAATACTCTCCATCATTGCGAACTTTTGCATTAACATTGCATTTTTATTCAGCAAAAGCGTATGATTATGTCAGACAGTCCTTCAACACTTATCTTCCTAACCCAAATACTTTGAGAAAATGGTATAGTAGTATTAATGGACAGCCAGGCATTCCAAATTTTAAAACTAAAAAATAATGAATCTAACAAAAAAATTGTAGCAGTTTGATAATGGACGAAATGCAAAAGCAAATTGATTGGGATGGGCATAAATCTTATGGCTTTGTTAATAATGGAATAGGTTTTAATGAAAGTATTGGTGTTGCTAAAGAAGCTTTTGTTTTGTTATTAGTTGCTGTTAATGGACATTGGAAGATCCCAATAGCATATTTTTTAACAGATGGACTTAACTCAAAAGAGAAAGTAAACATTATTTCTGAATGTCTCATCAAAGTTCATGAAACTGGAGTTCAAGTTATTTCTTTAACTTTTGATGGTACAGCTGCAACTTTATCTATGATAAAAATTTTTGGCGCTGATTTTAATGATAGAAGAAATCTGAAAACATTCTTTCAACATCCAGTAAATGCAGAACCAGTATTTTTAATTCTTGATGCATGCCATATGTTAAAATTAGTTAGAAATTGCTTTGGTGAAAAGAAATTGCTAAAAGACAGTAATAATGGTATTATTAATTATGCTTTTATTGAACAATTGTAT